CACCACTGTCACACTCAGGGCAGGGCCGATGGGGAGGTTATGGCTCTACCCCATCACACACACAGCAGGGCCTGTGGGGGGGGGGGTTGGGGCGCCACCCCCTGTCACACACAGAGCAGGGCTGATCAGGGGGTTGGGACGCCACACCCTGTCACACACAGAGCCGCAGGGGGATCAGGGGGTTTGGGCGCTGCCCCCTGTCATGCTGATCTGGTGCCAGGAGGCCTTGCGGCTCCTCTGATCCCAGTGCTGGGAAGCATATTACCCTTTTACTATATAGGATAGAGGCTTGGGGGCCGGCTGGTTTGCCCTGAAGGGTGTCCTGGATCAGGGTGGGGGTCCCCACTGGGGTGCCTGGCCAGCCTGGGTGAGGGGCTGAGGGCTGTTTGCAGCTGGTCACACACCCTTCAGGGTGGGGGTCCCCACTGGGGTGCCTGGCCAGTCCGGGTGAGGGGCTGAGGGCTGCTTTCAGGCTGGCGGTTTTGACTGCTTTCAGGCTGGCGGGAAGCTCCCAACCACTCCTTTTTTTCTTTTTTTTTTTTTCTTCTGGGCCAGCTTTAGCTCTGGCTCTAGCTCTGAGGCTTCCGCTGCTGGTTTGTTTGCAGTTCTATAATCGAAACAATGTATAACTTCAGCTCTGAGATCCCAGCCAGCTATATTTGTTAGAATGTTTCAAACTGCCAGCTCAGAGGCCTGCAAGTCAGGCGGGGAACGTTGGAGTCTGCAGTCACTGGAGCAAGGAAGCCTCATGTTTGCTTCCAACTGCCTGGCTGCCGGCCGCCATCTTGGCTGACAGTTAATTTGCATAAGGATACGCTAATTAGCCAATCAGAAGGGTAGCGTTCGTACGCCAATTACCATTTTTCTCTTTTATTAGTGTAGATAGTACACATAATTCATGAAACTCTTTACCCCAAGGTAAACTACAGGAGAAATATTCATAAAGCTCCAGAAGTTGTTCAGAAAAATTTAGGAGCAATAATGCATGAATTTTAGCAACAGACATCCATTTGTGAAAACACCCCTAATCTCTGAGGCAATCACGAATGAATGCTGTAAAGCCTCTGGGCTATATTCATGGATCTAACATTAGAACCAGGATGATGGCCTTGGTGCAGTGTGCAAAGCTCAGGTAGCAGAAACTGGATTGGGACTCTGCTTTCCCACAGGAGGAAGGACCATAATTGTTGGATCTGCTTAATATTGAGGATGCCTTTGAGGAATCGCTACTCTTTCTATGCAAATCTCTATCTTTTTTACCCTCCAATTCTGTTTCCCAGTTCAGTCCCCAGGTGGCTCAGTGGAGCACTCACCCACAATGTCTTCACCTCCACAGAGACTCAGCACGGTGGTCAGGGTGAGGGCCCCCCAAATCAGGGCTCTGTTTAGGGTCATCTTCTTCTCAAGGTGTTCTCAGCAGTTGCTGCTCTGAGTTGTAGAGCAATGATGAGGACCAAGCTGAGAAAGAAATCTAAAAACACCCAAACCAAACCCTGCAGGTCATGTTCTAGCCAATAAGAACTGCCCCCCTGTGATGACACCTCAGTTGCCGGCTTAAGAGTGTGTACCAGGAGGCCTGGCAGGGACTGGGAAATCCCCAGGTTCTGAGGTTCTGATGCAGCATCCACTCTGAGTGGACCTGAGGGAATTCTCCATGAAAGGAGGGAAGGTAAGAAATCAGAATCTCCTCTCCTGTGTGTGCCTGCTGGTTCTCACAGACCTAAATAACCAGAACATGGACATTGTCTGAGCCACAAAAACGGTCAAGAACACTTCTCTCCCGGGTAACGTGAATGACTGCTGCTCCTTTTTATTATTTTTTAAATGATTGATGAGAGAGAGAGAGAGAGAGAGAGAGAGAGAGAGAGAGAGAGATCCATTTGTTGTTCCACGTATTTCACTCGTTTCATTGGTTGCTTCTTGTACTGCTGACCGGAGACTGAACC